TAAACTAATCGCAACGCTTTCTCTATTCCTCGAAGCTTCATCGTGCATAAACGTACAACTTTCTCCATAAGGACAACCTTCTTCAGTATAAAACTTCTTACAATGCCTCCCTTTAAAAGATCTCCCACTCCCTGTCGACGACGATACCAAAGACGGGATCTGAAACTCCTCTCTCGGCTCAGGCGTCGTCCTCTCCTCTTCATGAGCCGCCACAATCTCTTGCCAATTCGCCGGTAGACGATGAAGCTCCTCAACAATATGAGCGAAATTACAATTCGTCACATACGAACAAGTCCCAGCTCTGAATTTACAACATAGCTTCGTCTTCAAAATCTGGATTCGAGGATTAATGAGAGGAAATAAGAGGAGAAAAAGGAGATGCGAGCGTCAAGGGAAAATCAAACGAGGGGAGAGATGTTGGGTTTGAGAAGAAGATGATGAAGACTCATCGTGAAAGCGAACACAAAAATTAGGGATTTGTAGAGTTTTTTTTTTTTTACTTAAGATAATAATTTCTGGGTTTGGGTCGGATCTGTGGTTGGGTTGTGTAATATCTCTGATTCATTAAGGGTTCAGTTATAATTGCTCACGTTTTTATTAAAAAAAATAGAAAAAGGGGCATAACTGATTTGGGATTTGGTTTTTGGGTTTTTAAAGATTTGGACCCCAACAAAAGAGACCAAATTTAAAAGAAAAAAAAAATCAATATATTGATATATATTTTGTTGACTTTATTATGTTAAATTATGGTTTTTTCTATCAAGTTTAGCATTAAGAGACATCGATGCAAGTTTTTGGGGGTATATATATACTTGGAAATAATTTAAATGCCTCAATTTAAGATTTTTTTAACATATGGATGAGAAGAAAAGTCGGTCCATTAGCTAAAAGCATGAAAAAGACTTATTTACATATTATAGGTGAAAAGGAATCTCAAATCTCAAGCCACACAATTAGTATAATTTAGTATAACAATGTAGGGCAAAGTGTCAAATAAGTGATAATATTTAAACTAAAGTTGATCTTTCGTTTTCCATCACGCTTTCTTCGTTGTGGTGACCTTTTTTATAAAATAATAAAATTTACTCTTTGGTTTGTTCTTCATCTATTGTTTTATAAATTATCTATCTATCAATTTTGTATTATATTGAAAACGTGTAAACTCGGTATCTCTAGATCTAGATCACTACAAAGAAAGAAGGCCGATTTAGTCTAAATATCGATTTATAAAACTTGGGTTTCTTCGACCAAAAAAAAAAACTTGGGTTTCTCAAAATGTTCCATATATTTGGGAGGTGCTTAAAACAATATGTCACTTGTTTACATTAGTTATTTTTACTTATCATCGACATAAAATGAAAATTGAAGATAAACAATGATTGTACTATTATAGACTACGCGGTTATACGACAACAAAATAAAAGACCACGCGGTTATATGTTTTAGTTAAATAAATAATTATTCAAGTGGAAACAAACGACAATTTGTATGATTGATCTTGATACGGAAAATGAAAAATCTTCATATTTACAAATATTATAATGTTTATCTTATTTTATAGTAAGTTTTTCCTTGAAAGATAGACCAATGAGACTTGCGACCTTGATCTTAACGTCGTAGGGGCAGCAGCAGCAAGGTCGCTTGCAGAAGTCATTATCCTATTTTATTTTATTTTTGACACTTAAGTCTTCCCATTTTATTTTTATATTCTCGTAATTCTAGAATCTTTATAATTTCGACAACTTTTTGAAAACGTGTTCTTATCATATAAGTTAAACAACATTTAATTCCGCCATGTGTATACACGTGAAACGTTAACGATAATTAGTTGAGTTTCTACGGCTAGGTTTATTATGTTCTATATTAATTTTATCACGTTTATTGACTAATATTTGAGATCATCAAGCGAACAACTTAACTACTTGAGATTACCTGGAACGAATATTACCAACAAAATCAATGATAAAAATTATGAAAATATAAAATAGGGTGTAATTGACCAGAAGATAAAAAAAGAGTGGTCGAATTTGTGATTTATAAATAAATCGAGGGTGCAACATAGAAATATATATAAATAGTTAAAACCGGTCCAAGTGGTAGTTGCCTCACAACGGGTCAATTTCAAAAAGATCACCGACAGTGGACCTAACTAAACTATTAAGCCCCATAGTTGCAATAAATTACGACAAAATGCCATTCTTCGTCTTCGTCGTGACCTGTCCCTCGTACGCAATAAGTACCACGAAAATTACTAAAATTAGGAATATTTAACCACAAAATTACATCTGTTATATATATATATATTCACATTTGCGATCTTCAGATTTTTTTTTCCCCTATCATCATCATTTTTGTTTCTCCGATCATCGCTGGATCTTGAGGATCTAGATTTCTCTCATCTCCTCTCTGTTCTCACGGGACTCGGGAGTTTCTTTGAAGAATCTAGGGTTTCTCAATCGGGTTTTTGGTTTCTGTGATTTTTCTTAATTTTGGGTTTTTGTGAATTCGAAGAATCGCCATTTTCTTTGATCACTCTCCTTTTTTTATTGCGATCTCTTCCGAGATAATCGAAAGGGTTTTTTCTAAGTTGCTGAGTTTGGATTTTGAAGTGAGGAATTGTTGAGAAAGTCGATCTGGGTTTTGTTTTTCATTGAAGAGGATGCAACAAGGTCAAGGGAAGAAGGTGAGGAGCCTTTCTTTATGTGCAGAATTATAAAAATGCCATCTTTGTTGAATCTGTGTCTAATTTTGTGATGTTTCTATGCATTGGTGATTGAACAGAACATGAAAGAGATGGAGTTTTTCACTGAGTATGGTGATGCAAACCGTTATCAGATTCTTGAAGTCATTGGGAAAGGAAGCTACGGTGTTGTTTGTGCAGCGATTGATACACATACAGGAGAGAAAGTCGCTATAAAGAAGATTAATGATGTGTTTGAACATATCTCTGATGCTCTTCGTATCCTCCGTGAGGTCAAGCTTCTTCGGCTCTTAAGGCATCCAGATATAGTTGAGATTAAAAGCATAATGCTACCACCTTCGAAGAGGGAGTTTAAAGACATTTATGTTGTGTTTGAGCTCATGGAATCAGATCTTCATCAAGTCATCAAAGCTAATGATGATTTGACTAGGGAACACCATCAGTTTTTCCTTTATCAGATGCTTCGTGCCTTGAAGTATATGCATACAGGTGGGGTTGTATTCTTTTTTTCACTCTCGAATTTCGCTATAATTCGTAAACTCATAACTAAATTAACTGGATTCTGTCTTGGTGCAGCTAATGTTTACCATCGTGATCTTAAACCGAAGAATATACTGGCAAATGCAAACTGCAAGTTGAAAGTTTGTGACTTTGGACTAGCAAGAGTGTCGTTCAATGATACACCTACTACAGTGTTTTGGACGGTATGCACCCTTGGTCCACACCTTTTGCTGTCAATTTTGAACTCTGGTTTGAGTAATCTCTCCAGTGTGTTTGAATTTCCTTCTCTTTGTCGTTTTTTGTTCCAGGATTATGTTGCCACAAGATGGTACAGGGCACCTGAGCTCTGTGGATCATTCTGTTCTAAGGTACTTGTTATTCTTCTTCATTTTGTGTCCAATGGGATTGAATGAACCAACATGTCAAAGTAATTCTTGTTCAGAAGGATTCAAACTCTTCCGAAAGTTGAAAACCTCATTTACACTTGTGTTAGGCTATGTGCATTTGAGTGGTTTCTTTTTGCATGCTACACTTTTTCAGAACTATTTGCTCAATAGTCTAACTTGCAGTTTTTATCTTTTGTAGTACACTCCAGCTATTGACATTTGGAGCATTGGCTGCATCTTTGCCGAGGTATTATTAGGGAAGCCTTTGTTTCCTGGAAAAAGTGTCTCCCATCAGTTAGATTTGATTACCGATCTTCTTGGCACACCAAAATCAGAGACCATTGCTGGAGTATGTTCTTTTTGCTTCCACATTACCAATTTTCTTTTTTGGTTGCTGGGAGGAGACATGCATAACTAATAATATATCTCTAATGCAGGTTCGAAATGAGAAAGCTAGAAAGTACTTGGGAGAAATGAGGAAGAAAACTCTTGTCCCCTTTTCGCAGAAGTTTCCTAACGCAGATCCTTTAGCATTGCGCCTTTTGCAAAGACTGTTGGCTTTTGATCCAAAGGATAGGCCGACTGCTGCAGAGGTGCTTGTTCTTTCTTTCATTATTCTCTCCCCTTAGAACTACTGGCTTGCTTTGTAGTGCAGAGCGCTCTTGTTCATATTTCAGCTCCCTCTAACTGTGATGTTATTTGACAGGCGCTGGCTGATCCTTATTTTAAGGGCCTTGCTAGGGTTGAAAGAGAACCTTCTTGTCAGCCAATCTCGAAGATGGAATTTGAGTTTGAAAGACGAAGGTTGACAAAGGATGACATTAGAGAGCTAATATACAGGGAGATACTAGAATACCATCCACAGCTGCTCAAGGATTATATGAGCGGATCTGAAGGCTCAAGTTTCTTATATCCTAGGTTTTTACTTCTTCCTCTTTCGAACCATAGTCTATGTCTTCCGTTGGTAGCAAAATATATGTGAGACATCACTCTCTCTGTATTCATTTTCGCTGATTGATTGATTTTTTACATTGCAGTGCGATTGGTCATCTGAGGAAACAGTTTGCGTACCTAGAAGAAAATAGCGGCAAAAGTGGGCCAGTCATACCTCCCGAGAGGAAACATGTTTCACTTCCGCGGTATGTTATCTTATCCAACCATATCAACTATATATATATATGACTCAGTATGGCATTTGTGAATGATCTCTACCTTTTAATCTTTGTAGGTCTTCAGTTCACTCCAGTATAGTATCCTCCCACGCTCAACCTGGCTTGAATGCACAAGAGAGTCGACGTGTTTCTTATGAGCCTTCAAGAAATGGAGTAGTTCCTTCAACTTCAGCAAATTCAACTAAACCTTTAGGACCTCCACCACGAGTACCATCAGGTAAGAATACCAATCTATAAGCTATGAAAGATTTGACTTGTTCTCTGGGTCTCAAAAGTTGTAGCTATCTCCATCAGTTGATACCACAGATACAGACACAATATTGTTCTGAAACTCAACCGCCTTCCTTGTGTTTTAACAGGTAGACCAGGCCGTGCTGTGGAATCATCTGTAACTTATGAAAATGACAGGAACCTCAAAGAGTCTTCTTATTGCAGAAGCACGGTACTCCCCCAACAGACCATACCTCCTAACTGTTTCTTCCATCCTAACACCATGAACCAAGAGAAGCGCTGTGGTACAGGAGCTGTTTCTCAGCCAAAACCGCAGTATGTCCCCGCACAATGCAACTCCGCAAAGCCAGCTGAGCTGAACCCAAACCCTTATGTCCAATCACATCACAAGGTGGGTATTGATGCGAAGCTGTTGCAGGCGCAATCCCAATATGGTCCTGCTGGAGCTGCAGCGGTTGCAGTAGCAGCACACCGGAACATAGGCACGGTTGGGAATGGCATGTCTTAGAATTAGCACTTTGTTGGTGTCAGGTGATTGATTGCCAGAACTCATCTCTTTGTTAGTCGGTTATGTAATGTAAGTATTATTGAATCAACCCTGATTTGAACACATTTGAGATTGTAATAAAAGAAAAAAAAGTCCAGTTTTAACCCCACCAAATGTCTCGGCGAAAGCCAAATGTGCTCGCGGAATATGCCTGGATCATCCAGGTGATTTCTGTTTGTTATCTTGTTGAAAAAGCTTAAGATTTTGGTCTTTCAAGATCGGTCCCATTGTTCCTTCTTATTTGACAAAGAACAAAGGATTACAAAGAAAAAGATCAATGTTAATCTGTAATTGGTCTCTTGGCTAATAATAATACAGAGCAATAGCCAAATAACTTTGAAGTCCCCAAACTATTATTGGTTGGTAGATTTTTCTAGTCCGTAAACGATTGTCTTTCGCACAACATAATTAGTAAATTATACTCAATGGTTACGAAAACAAGGATCTGATTGTCTACCCAAAATTAGTCGTCAAGCAGTATACAGTCATGACCTCGGATATGAGAAGTCAACAGACTTAACCAAGGGGAGATAGATTCAAATTCCGGGTGAGTCAGATCGTTTGTGATGAACGTGTGAATGCTATTCTTGGTCTCGATACAGCTCCAACCTGGTCTCTTCTTCACATTCTGTTGTCTCATTTCCGCTCTAATGTCCGACACTTCCTCATATCTCCCAGCTTCTACATAGACATTAGACATCAATACATAACCTCCGGAATGCTCTGGCTCGAGCTCTTGTAGCCTTTTTCCTGCCAACTGTGCGAGCTCTGTGTTTTTGTGGAGGCGACAAGAAGACATTATTGATCTCCAGACTATAGGATTATCTCCCATGGGCATTGCTATTGCTAACTTATATGCTTCCTCTAGCTTGCCTGCACGGCCAAGCATGTCTATTACACATGTGTAGTGATCACTTGTTGGGACAATGTTATATACCGCCTCCATCTCTTCCAGAAATCTTCGCCCTTCGCTCACAAAGCCCGAGTGGTTACATGCTTGCAGCAACCCAACGAAAGTGATTTCATCGGGCTTGACACTGGCTCTGCACATACGTGAAAACATATCCAAAGCTAACTCACCACAGCTCTGCACACCGTAACCATTAATCATGATATTCCAAGAAGCTGAGTCTTTATTCCTCATTAAGTCAAAAACCAACTGAGCGTCCCTCAAGTCCCCGCATTTCGCGTACATGTCCATTAAGGAGTTGTGTATGAATTCATCTTTGGAATTGCGGTTTAAAAGTCCATTGACGACAATGTAGCCATGAATCTCTCTGCCCTGCTTCAATGCAGCTAGACGACCGCAAGTGGGTAGAACGGTTGTCAACGTAACAAGGTCAGGTCGGACTCCGGAACAAAGCATCCTTTCGAAAAGAGCTAAAGTTCCATCATGATCACCACAGTAGTCATGAACACACAACACCGAGTTCCATGTAAATATGTCTCTCTCATGATCCATTGCTTCAAATATTTTAATTGCTTCCTCAAGCCATTTACCCTTTCCATACATATCAATCAAAGCATTTGACACAGCAACACTGAAATGAAATCCCAATTTCACTATAAGGCCATGGATCGATCTGCCATTGTCAAGATCCCCTAACACAGTAAATGCTGATAAGACCCCCGTGACGGTGTGCCTACTCATGGCTACTCCTTCCTCACGCATTTTACTAAAGACTCTTAAAGCATCCTCAAATCTAAAAATCTGTGAATACCCATTAACCAACGCATTCCAAAGCACACTGTCATCTCTCTCAGGCAATTCATCGAACAGCTTCTGAGCATCCTCCACTAACTTGAACTTTAAATAAGAGGTCATTAAAGCACTACCAACATAACGATCGGAATCAAACCCAAGTTTAAAAGCCAACCCATGAACCTTCTTAATATCAGAAATCTCCATAGCATCGCTTCCTTTTAGCAAACTAGGAAATGTATACTTATCAGGTAAAACCCCTTTAGCTCTCATTTCTCTGTACATCTCAATCGCATCCAAAGGAGAACTATTGACCACAAACCCAGAAATAATAGCGTTATAACCAAACACATCAAGCTCGGATCCACCAAAGACCGAGATCGCCCGCCGCGTAAGCCCACACTTTGCGTACATGTTGACGAGGCTCGTGACGGCTCGAGGAGATTCATCGAGAAACCCTTTCCTAACCATGAAACCGTGAATCTGTTCGCCGGAAACGGAGTCGTTGCGCTGCGCACACCGTTGCAATGTAGCGATACATGTAGCAACATTGTGGTACTCGTATCTCTTCGACTGTTCTTCGATTTCTCCAGAAACTGTGGAATATAAAGATGCTAAAGCAGAAGGCTTTATGAAATCTGGGTTTCGTGAGAGAAACCTCAGAGTTGCGGCAGTGAAATTTTGAATCTCGATCCCTTGTAAGATTACAGTCATGCTTGTTGTTCCATGGAGAGAGATTAATGTTTGAAATTAGACTTTTATGAATTGGTGAATAATGTTAAATGGGCTTACGAAGAATAATATAAAGAGAGGGCTTTTTGATAAAACAGGCCCATTTAAGAGATATTAGCGAATGTGAAAAAGTCCCACATCGCTTAGAGAAAGAGAAGAAGCTGAGTTTAAATAGCGATCGAGTCGAAGAAGTGATTGTCCCTTCGGGGACATCCGATAAAATTGGAACGATACAGAGAAGATTAGCATGGCCCCTGCGCAAGGATGACACGCACAAATCGAGAAATGGTCCAAATTTTTTTGGGAAAATTTTTCAGATTGATTTTCATCTTCTGGGGTTTTTTTTTTTTTTTGCGTTTGCTGATTCAGAACTGAAATTTCTTTCGAATCTGTGCGAAAAAATACTCAAAAGCTTCTGCAACTCTTAAATTTGGAGGGTTTCGTGATTTAGGAAAAATACTGCCAGAGTTGATTAAGTTTTGATTATATATCCCAAAGGAACCGCAATGAACTTGGATTGCTACAGCAATCAGTTCGTTATTGATCGGAAAAAATTTCTATCTCTGATTGTTCCGACTTTGAGTCGACTCCGCCGTGGCGGCTGGCGACATCAGTGCGTTTTGTTAACCAGATTACCGGTATGTAATGTATAGATTGAGATTCCGGTTAGGTCGGTTAGGGAAGTCAACTGAACTGTTCTTTGTCATTATCCTTTAGTTTGGCTCAGAGGCATTCTGAATAGGTAATAATGATGGCTCGTAAACTAATAATAAGAAAGACTTGAGAAGTTTTTGTGTGGATATTATTGTGAATTCTGATTGTCAAAGAATGGACAAAGATTTGATTTTGAAGTGAGAAAAAAAAAACATTATTTGGGTAAATAAATATGTACTAATGAGAGACAAGACCTATCATCAAGATTCACGACTAGTTTACCTCTTTGAGCATCTTACATAAGATCTTGGGGTTAAGCAACTTTGATTAATCACAAACCTAAAAGTCAATACTTTATTTGAACAGCACAATTCATATTCAACTTCCACCATTTTGAGTCTGAATTTGAAGTGCAGAACATAATCAAAAGGAGTCTACCTCTTATAATCATAAGAAATAACCCTCATTAAAAGGTTTGGCAATCATCTCTAGCTACCATCAAAGTTTGGAAATTTGAAAACTTCAAAATACAATAAGGATCGAATCAGATTGACCAAGTTTTAGCCTTATACAACTTATAACAACAATTCAAACATAAATAACATATAGAAGAAGAAGAAGAAACATAAACTTGAAAGCATTAAGCCCCAGCTAAATCACCAACAACAAAAAAAAAAAGTTGCAAAAACAAACGAAATCATATGAAGCTTCAGTGTTGCAAGCAAGAGAATATGGCTCTCCATCTTTCTCCTACTTTCTATCTTCATCTCTTGCAACAATCTTGTACTTTCCACTTTCCTGTTGCTGACAAACAAAAACTCATCATCAAAATTAAGCCATAACACATACATACACAACTAAACACAGCAAAAAAAAATTGGAGAAAAAGTACTGATAACAAATCTTACCCTTTCCCATAGCTTGGTATGCTCATTGCAGAAACCAACAACAATACCACCACTCTTCTTCCCTTCACGATACTCAATACAAAGATCTTCCTTTAACCCACAAGTAACATGAAAAGCCAAATGACATTTCATCTCTGAACACTCGATAACACACCCGCGTCTAATCTTACACAAATAACACTTATCTTTCCATCTCTTACTCGGTATCTCCCCGCAACAAATCCCTTCTCTTCCTTCAGGATCCTCAAAGTAAACTTCAGGCACAAACAACGAGCAAGTGATATGAGCCCATCTACCATCTTTCGTCTGCTTCATCGCTCTACCTTTGGTTGTACACAAACAGCAAGAGAATAGCTTCTTCTCTCGGTTCTTCTTCGATCCGATGCATAGTTCGCAAAACCAATCGCCTTCTGGTATAGCTTTAACAAGAGGATTCCCATRACAAGAAGCATGAACCATCAAATCACAACCATCACAAAACACAATCGGATTTAATGGATCACCATCAGTGCTTTGACATACAGCACACATAATCCCA